TTTTTTTTTTTTTTTTTTTTTTTTTTTTTTTTGGTTTTTGTTTGTTTGTTTGATACCAGGGATTCAACTCGGGGGCACTGAACCACTGAGCCAATCCTCAGCTCTTTTTTGTAGGGTCTCACTGAGTTGCTTAAGGTCTTGCTAAGTTGCTGAGGCTAGTTTTGAACCCACAATCTTCCTGCCTCAGCCTTCTGAACTGCTGGGATTACAGGCATGCACCACTACACCTGGCTCAATAGTTTTCATTGTAGAGGTTTTTCACCTTCTTGGCTGTATTTATTCCTAGGTATTTTTTATTATTATTAAATATTTTTGTTACTGTGAATGTAATTGTTTTCCTGATTTCTTTTTCAGAAGATTCATTACTAGCATATAAGAAAGCTATTGGTTTTTCATGTTGATTTTGTAACCTTCTACTTTGCTGAATTTGTTTATTAGTTCTAACAGTGTTTTAGTGGAGTTTTTTGGATCTTGTAAATTCAGAATCATATCATCTGCAAACAGTGATGATTTGATGTCTTCTTTTCCAATTTTATCCCTTTTATATCCTTCTCTTGCCTAATTGCTTTGGCTAGAATTTCTAAGAATGTGCTAGGAGTGGTAAGAGTAGACATCCTTTTATTTTACCAGATTTTAAAGGAAATGCTTTTAGTTTTTCACCAATTACTATGGGTTTGATTTTGGGTTTTTCATGTATAATCTTTATGAAGTTGAGGCATGTTTCTTTTTTTAACTTTTTTTATTTGTATATGGACACAGTAACTTTATTTCAGTTATTTATTATTATGTGATACTGAGGATCAATCCAGTGTCTCACACATGCTAGGCAAGTGCCTGACCACTGAGCTACAAACCCAGCCTAAGGCAAGTTTCATCTATCCCATGTTTCTTCAGTGTTTTTCTATCATGAATGAATGCTGAATTTTGTCAAAGGCCTTCTCTGCACCTATTGAAATGTCTGTGATTTTTGTCCTTAATTCTATTTTTGTGACAAATTACATTTATTGATTTGTGTATATTAAACCATCCTTGCACCTCTGGAATAAAACCAACTTGGTTGTGGCCTATAATCTTTTAAATATGTTGTTGAACATGGCTTGCTAATATTTTATTAAGTATTTTTGGATTTATGTTCATCAGGGATATTCATCTGTAATTTTCTTTCTTTGATGTGTCCTTATCTGGTTTTGGTATGAGTGTGATATGGCTTCATAGAATAAATTCTGAAATGTTCCATTCCTCTATATTTTATGAAATAATTTACTTCTTCTTTAAAGTTGTAATAGAATTTAGCTGAGAATCCATCTAGTCTTGGCCTTTTCTTTTTTGGAAGATTTTCTATTACTACTTCTATCTCATTACAACTTATTGGTATGCCTAGGTTTTCTATGTCTTCTTAATTCAATTTTGGCAGATTGTGTCTAGAGACATACCCATTTTTTCTAGGTTTTCCAATTTATTGGAGTGTAAGTTTTCAAAATAGTTCTTAATGATCTGCTTTATTTCTGTGAGGCCTGTAGTGATTTCTCCTTTTTCGTCTCTAATTTTATTAATTTGGGTCTTCTCTCTCTCTCTCTCTCTCTCTCTCTCTCTCTCTCTCTCTCTTTCTCTCTCTCTCTTTGTTGTTGTTATTGTTACTTTGGCTAAGCGTTTATCAACCTTGTTCATCTTTCATCTTTTCAAAGAACCAACACTTTGCTTCATTGATTTTTGTATTGTTTGTTTTACTCTCAAGTTCATTGATTTGGGCTCTGATCTTAATTGCTTCCTTCCTTCTACTAGTTGTGGAATTGATTGCTCTTCTTTTTCAAGTGGCTTGATATGCATCAGTAGATTGTTTATATGGATTCTCTCTGATTTTCTTATGTAAGCACTTATAGCCATAAAATTTCCTATTAAAACTGCCTTTATAGTGTCCCAGAGGTTCTGGTATGCTGTATCACTATTCTTATTTGAGTCTAAGAACTTTTAAATTTCTCCCTTGATTTTTTTCTATCACCCATTCATCATTCAAAAGTGTATTTTTCCATGTCCATGTGTTTACATAGTTTCTGAAGGTTTTTATTGTGTTGATTTCTATTTTCATTCCATTATGGTCAAATAAGATGCAAGGAATTATATTACTTTTTTGTATTTGCTAAGAGTTGCTTTGTAACCTAAAGTATGTTCTATTTTGAAGAAAATTCCATTAGCTGT